CATGCATCTTGGACCCTGGGGTCATAAACAGTGACTGAACAAACCAAAGCAAAATCTGTGCACAATCTTCTAATCTCTTATTCTGAAGTTTCATTCTTTTCACTAAGAGTGTCACTAATTTTCCAATTTTTTTCCAAAATTAGAGAAGATGTGACAGCAAAAGTATTAATCTTCCACAAGAAAGATATGGATACATGTTCCTGATGATGCGTAAATTTCCTGAGCATTGCTGGGCATGACATTGCCTGGTTACACATGTTGCAACAAGCCACCCTGTGTGGGTTCCATGGTTTACCTTTTGTGCCTGACAAAAGGAACAGTCCTCCAAGAGGTGTCCCAGGATGCACTGCAGAGAGAAATTAGGTTCCTGCTTTGGCAGCTCCTGAGTTCGGCTTGCTTCATGCCCTGAAGCACAGACTGAGGAGCTGATCAGGCACCCTTGGTATCTGCTCCAAGCGGGCTTCAAAGCGGACTGCTGGAGCAAGGTGGAGTACCTGATTTGTGCTCAAATCAGGTACTTTGAGGAACCAGAGCAGCAACTGATTCCCCCTCTCCTTCCCTTTCTTACCCAGTTTCCGGAGCACCAGACAGTCCTTTATGATGCAGCTCTTTACTGGCACTTCACAGTCCCCTAGCAAACTGAATGATACTCTCTGCTCATGTAAAGAGTGAATGTTGAACCCAAACTGGAACTTCTCCCCAAATAGGAGTTGAGAACCCCAAGGATGTCATTTCTGGGGATCTCAGTTTCCATGCTGAGGCCACCTTGTCTGGGGCAGCTCAGGACTTCAAGTACGGGCTGTCTGAACACCAAATAAATATCATGTCATCAGCCCAAACCATATAAAAGGTCCCACTCTGGACCTGGTTTTTCTTGACCAGGCAGGAAGATGGTGATCTGGTAAATGGGATGGGGGAATAACATCTACCCCTTTGTCATGGTCAGATCACTTCCTCCTGAGGTTTGGTCTTATGGCTCCATTTCTCCTGTCTCAGGGTGGGCGACCTATTAAGATGGTCCACCCCGGAGGATGATGGATCCATTCCAGAGGGCTCTGGGGATTTTTCAGCTGGCATGGTAGGTGCCCCAGTTGAAGCCCAAGTCTCTCTGTGGAATTCGGAGGTGGCCTAAGTGATTGATACGATCATTCACAAACACCTGTGGCAGAGCTCAACCGGCTCCTACAGCACAGGTGAAGGTGATACAGCAAGAAGACAGTTAGAACTCAGGTAGAGGAGCACATGAAACAAATCTGGCCAAACATGGCTTATTGAACATTGTTTGTTTGTTTGTTTGTTTGTTTGCAGCTTTTATAGACTGTCCATCTACTGGCATCTCAGGACAGTTTACAGCAAAGCAACAGATAAAATAGGACACTGCATTCAGTATTATAAAAACCACATTAAAATGATCAAATATTAAAATAATGGGAAAATAAAAAGGGGTTTGCCTGGCACTGAAAAGAAAAAGTGCCAGCACCAGGCAAACCTCTCTGGGGAGCATATTCCATAATCGGGACACCACCATAGAGAAGGCTCTCCTCCTGGTAACCAGTGTCCTAATCTCTTTCAAGGAGGTATCCAGAAGAAGGACCTCTGCCTCAGATCCGAAAGGGCAGGAGAGCATATAGGAAAGAGGTAGATCAACAAATGATGCCCATTCCATGGCAATGAATGTGGCAAGAAAGTGCTTTCTCCAGGGGATCTTGGGGTCATTTACACTCTGGCCCAGAAGGAGATCTAACCGAACCCTTGGAGGCCTACTGTGACAAATTTGCACGACACTTTGAGGATAAAAGCACTTGAATTCATAGCAATTTGGACACCACCGTTATCCCAGTTCCATTTGCAGAGGCACCCAGTCAGTCCTCATTCTGGTTCTATTCTACTGGATGAGATTGCAGCCTGAAGATGTGGAGAGGTGCTTGGTCTGGTCCAACCTATGAAACATTTGCTGACCGGGAAATCTAAGGAGGGGACTTTGTGGTGCTGACCTCTTTAAAGTCAGCTGCAATTGCCCCCCCCCCCAAAAAAAACTAATCTAGACCCAACCCATATAAACAACTATAGACCCATAGCCAATATTCTCTTCCAGGACAAGCTGTTGAAGCAGGTTGTGGCCAGGCAGCTCCAAGCACTCCTGGAGAAAACAGGTTATCTGGACACGTTTCAGTTGCGCTTCAGGCCTGCCTTTGAATGGAAACCGCCGTGGTTGCCCTGTAAGATAACTTCTGCCAGGAAAGAGAAAGGGGGAGGGAGACCCTGTTAATTCTTGTGGACCTCTCAGCAGCTTTCGATACCATCGCCTGTGGTATCCTTCTGGAGGGATTGGCAGTGGGAGTTGGGGCACTGCCACTGTCTCTTTGTGGTGTTTTGTGGTGGTTCCACTCCCACCTGACCAACCATCTTCAGATGATAGTGCTGCGGGACTATAGCTCTGCACCATGCCCCTGTGCAGGGATCTATTCTCCAGTGATCTATTCTGTCCCCCATGCTCTTTACTATTGTAAGCCGTCCTGAGTTGTAAGCCATCCTGTGAAGGACGGCATATAAATAAAATAAATAAATATTATCTACATGAAATCACTGGGAGAAGTCATCCGGAGGTTTGGGCTGATGACACTCAGCTCTGCCTCTCATTTTCACCCAATCCAGGTAAGACGGTGACCATTCTTAACCAGAACCTGGGTTGGTAATGGACCGAATATGGAGCAATAACCTGAAGCTCAATCCAAATGATATAGAGGGGCTGTTAGTGGGCAGTCCATCCACCCAGCTGGGGAATTTTCAGCATATCCTGGATAGGGTTGTATTCCTCCTAAAGAACAAGGCTTGCAGCTTGTGAGTGTGCCTGGACCCTGAGCTGTCATTTGTCTCTCAAGTGAACTAAGTTGCCAGATGTGCTTGCTATGAGCTTAAGCTGATTTTTTAGCTGCATCCCTACTCGGATGAGTAAAGCTGTGCTACAGTTATCCATGCACTGGTAACCTCATGCCTGGTTTACTGCAATGGGCTCTATGTGAGGCTGCCTTTGAATATGGCCCAGACACTGCAGTTCATTCAGAACAGGGCCTCTGGATTCTGTTCATTCAGAACAGTTGACAAGGACTGGTTCTTGTAAACATATCACACCGGTCCTTCACAAGTTGCATTGACTGGTGGTTGCTGTCCAGGTCCAATTCAAAGTGCTGACTTTAACATACAACATCCTAAATATCTGAGGTTATCTGAGAGAGTACCTATCTCCATAGGTTCCCACCCAATCACTAAGGACTCCATCAGAGGCTCTTTTGCATGTTCTTCCCCCTAAAGAAGTGAGGAAGGAAGGGCAATTTCTTCCAACCCTCCCTTACCTACAGCCCAATGCACCAGATCACACAGAATCTCCAAGGATCTACCAACCTCATGGAAGCAAAGTTTGGGTGTGAGGGGGCTGACAGAGTGCAAAGACAGTAAGGAGCTGAGTCAGACCTCACAGGGATCTCTCTCTCACTCCGTGTGTATGTGTGAGTGTGTGTGTGTGTGAAAATTAATTAAAAAGATGCAATGACAAAGATATAATACTACTACTGCTAAGATATTTGTTAATGTACAACATGTGCTATAATGCCTATGTTGTACATTAACAAGCATCCTAGCAATAATGATATTCAGTTGGCTTTATAACCTAGTAGCTAGCATAGGAGGGTGCAGGGCAATGGAGCACTCCGGGAAACTAGGTCAAAACTCATGCATGGCATTGTCTCCACTACACCAGATTCACAGAGAATCTCACCTCCACAGCACTGCATCTTCCCTCCCTGCCGTCGATCTGTGAAGGACCTTTCATAACCTTGAAAAGTTCTGTCCTTAAACATAAATGTCCTTCCTCCGTTATAGCCTCACAACTGCCTTGTGGAGTAGATTAATCTGAGAAATAGTGACTGGCCCAAGTTCCTGTAACTTGGAGTCCTGCACTGAGCAGGGGGTTGCCCAGCAGCTTTCTTGGCCTCTTCCAACTCTCCTGTTCTATGATGCTATGATTATGCGGTGTGTTTTACGGCTGAGCAGGGATTTGAACCTTCCCAGTCTGATCCCATCCCTTGAATCACTGCAACATGCTGGCTCTGATTAATATTTCTTCTTTTTGTGGGACAGTGTTTTGAAGTTTTATTAATGAATGACGTTCAAGGGTGCATTGACATAATCTTGTGAAAAGCACTACAGAAACACAAAGTGTGATTATTTTCCAAACAGGCATTCTCAAAATGGATGTGCCATAAAAATAATAGGTCCTTTGAATTGAATAACTGGCTGAGGTTTTCTGTTGAACAGATTATCTGTTCTCTGGCTATGGACAATGTGAGGGTAGGCCTTTTATTCTCACATTTCAATTCACGGAATTTTCTTGAAGGGGGAAAAATCCTTATAACCATAGGAACTCCCCATTTTGAAGGACCCACAGGCTAGATAGGAATTTGCATTAAAACTTACTCCAGATGAAAACATGCTGCACAAATTCATCAAACAAGAAGTCTCTCCCCCTCCCCCTGAGAATAATGCCATGATTAGAGAGTGAATAATGGAAGAGGCAGGCCTGTGTGCCTTTCAAGAGAGCGCACATGACCCTGAAGCAGCTCTCAAGCCATCCACCCAGAGGCTGAAGTGATTATACAGCCATCCATATCTTTCATGTGCTTCGCATGTATGGCATGCTCTGCATTTTTGTTCCTCCAAAGCGCTTTGCGCTAAAGAAAGAACCAAGACCCACAAACGGTTTCTGCATTCGAAATGAAAAGCAACTTTCTCGCCTGCTTCCCACAAGAGAGGAACCTGGCCACCTTAGGAAGTGCGATCCGGATTCAAACATCAGAACTTCTAAGAGGAGACCACCTGCCTCTGGACAATTGGAATGGAAATCTCATTACACAAGGGGAAGGGGGGATGTATCCACCGTTTCTATGCCAAACACACATTTGTGTGCTATTCTAAAAGCAGGAGAATAAAAGTCTTCAGGCTCAGGCGGTTTAGTTAAGTTTATTTTAAAATGTTTTGACAGCTCCCAATACAATACAAGGGTGATGTGCAAAGTGGATTCCAAAATCCATAATGACATATGGGAACAGTAGCAAGAGAGAACACGTAAAATATATGTATCCACCAGCTTACAGTAGGCCAGCTTAAAATACCTGGGCAAGCAAATCGTTCATGTCCTGTTGCAGAAAATGACAGAATGTTGGTGCCAGTTGGGCTTCCATGGTGGGTGCTCCCATAGTTGAGGCATCGCAACAGAGAAGGATCTCTGCCTTGACCTGCAATGGGCCAATGTCCCTCAGAGAAGAGCTTCTCCTGGTACTCCTAAATGTTACAGAAACATATGAAACAAATCAAATGTGTGTTCTCTCCTATATTAATGTAAATTACCTAACCAAAAGCAGACTTTCTTCATTTCTTAGAGCTTTCTTAGAGTAGTGTACATACCCCTGGTGAAAAGAGCCAACTTGCAATGTGTTGGAGTAACCCTTCATTTGATAAAGCAAAGCCTTTAAGCAACTTATACAGCTGTCAGAATTGAGCACATTATGCCTACCTGAGTGAAACAGCCCCCAATGCACTTCTAGACAAAGCTCCTGCTATGGTGCATCCTTACGACCCCTAAGGGAAGGGTCTGTCCACTCCATTCCCTAAAGACAGGACAGACAGTTGAGGAAAGGGAAGGCATAAAACTCTGTCCCTCAACCTGCTAATCTCATCTAGCTTCAAAGTGTGCAAACTGAAAAAGCAGGTGCTTGTTGGAGAAGACTGCCCCTTGTGGCTGAAGGTGTTCTTGTATTTTTCAAATACATGGGCAGGTTTAAATTAATTAAACAAAATGAAAACATTGAAAATGAAAATACCTTTGAGGTGTGCACCTGTGGGTTCTCCTTTGCATGCATGCCAAGTTTCAGGTGTCTAGGTTTCATGTTCTTGATGTTATGGTCCTTATACACAGACAGACAGACAGACAGACAGACCCTCTTTTATTATTATAGCTATACACATGCACACACCTTGATTCCTCAACACTTGATTACTCAGCACTTGGTCTCTATTCCAAGAAAAATGCAGAAGGGCTGAACTTGTGTGTGCAATGGAATCACAGCAGTAAGCCCAGCTCATGAAAAACATACATTCAGCTGACTGTTGTCTATGGACAGTACATGTACAGATATGTCAGTATGGTTGGAAGTAGCTTTCTATTTTCCTGATGACATATACAAGATTCAGATGCCTAATTTATACATATAGACTCCTATTTATTGGTTGTATGGTATTTATTATATGTGTATGTATTGTTTTATTGTAGTTTGATTTTAATGATTGTAAACCATCCTGAGATGCCATGCATAAGGGACAGCATATAAAAGTTTTAAATTAAAAAATAAAGACTCTGTCAGTATCACAGGCAGAATATTTGTAGGGTGGCTTCCCTCAGCACAATCATTTTCACTTTCCCTAAATAAAGGCACTGTTCATTGGAACATGAGTGATAAAATAGCACCATTAGCCACAATCAGGGCTGCAGTAGAAAATTTCCAAGGGCAGGTGCTCCCCATGACAGTTCACGTAAGTTCACACTCCTAAGAGGTGACCAAAATGCAGGCAGCTGAATTGATCCATATCAATAAACCAGTTATAGCAGTTTTGATCTCCACCTGGCACAAGTCTTTCTTAAAGCAAATTAATCTTAACCACACATTCCAACCACCACAAAATACTTTGCATTACAAAAGGGAACAAGGTATTCTTTCTAGGGAAATTCATTTCCTCCTAGCCACTGGGACTATTGCCAGGAACAGGGAATTCTGAGGCTGTCCATGTTCCATCCCCGTCAGTCCTACCTCCACCACAACATTGGCACCCATTTCATTTTAACTGAGGGTGGGAGGTAAGGAAGTCCTACCTGTGGTGATGAGCCATCCAGCCAACAAGGAGGACCATGCATGTATGAAACTGCTTTCATACTCACCAACCTGTTTCTTTTCCCCTTTGCACAGGGGGTTCTAGTTCATTATAAACTTTGGTCCTATGTAACATATGCTTCAATATTCCAAGATATCGTTAGGCACTTTCCTTAACAACCTCAGTATCCTTAATTGTCCCACTGCAAGAGTTTATTTCTTGAACTTACTGCCATAGCATGTTCAGATGCAACAAGATGAGGAATAAATGGCTCAAGAGAACTGAAAAAGAAAAAGATCTTGGAGTAATTATGGACAATAGGCTAAACATGAACCAGCAATGCAATGCAGCCTCCAAAAGGCCAAGTGAGCAACCCCGAGGCTTCGGTGAATGGGGCGGCATAGAAGTTTCAGAGAGAAAGAAAGAAAGAAAGAAAGAAAGAAAGAAAGAAAGAAAGAAAGAAAGAAGGAAAGTGCTATTTTGGGACACATTAACAGAAGTATTATTTCCAAATTACAAGAAGTAGTAGTTTCTCTATTCGCCTCACTAGTCAGACCTCATCTGGAATCCTGTGTCCAGTTCTGAGCACCAAGATTTAAGAAAGATGCAGGAAAATTAGAAAGGGGCCAGAAGAGGCCAACAAAAATGATCCAGGGTTTGGAAACACTACCCTACGAGGAGATTCTGAGAGAATTGGGCATATTCAGCCTTGAGAAGAGAGGACTGAGTGGGGACATGATATCCCTCTATAAGTACCTCAAAGGCTGTCACAAAGAGGAAGGTCAAGATCTCTTCTTTCTGATGCCAGAGTGTAGGACATGGAATAATCAATTTGTGACAACCCAGATTCAGGCTAGATATCAGGAAAAGCTTCCTCACTGTCAGAGAAATACAACAGTGGAACCCGCTGCCCCCACTCTGGAGGCATTCAAAAAGAAACTGGGCAGCCATCTGAATGGGATGGTGTAACTTGGTGTCCTGCAACAGCAGGGGGTTGGACCCAGTGACCTTCATGGCCCTTCCAACTCTACTACTCTATGATGCTATGCTGGGTAGTCACAGAAAAGGCCATTAGATCCTGATCCACGTCCCACCTCTTCCTGATTCAGTGTCTCTGTATAATCTTTTCAAAAGACTGGGCCTTCAGAGAAGGTTGGGGAGTGTGGGGGAAGAGGAATTGGAATTCTACCCTGAGCACCTGTCCCAAAGGATTTCAAAGATCTTTTAGCATGTTTTCCATTGGGATTGCACCAAATCACTCCAGATGGGGCCCAGCCAATGCCTCATTGAGTAATAATATATCTTTCTTTGGGGTGATATTCTATCCCCCTGCTTACGCAGTCTAGGTTGCTTCTTTTGGGCTTAGCCATTCACCAGACAGAAGGTTTGGAAAGATAAAAGATCCTCAAAATGAATTATACATACACACTCTCACACACATTTCTTTTCTGACTTTATATTTTAAAAACATGGGACAAAGCAATCCAGGCAGAACAGAGCATTTAGGTATAAAGTAATGCGAAGTTCAACAAGTGTGATTGAACAAAATGAAGGAAAGCCCCTTGCTTTAAAATGATGGCCTCAGATTTCATCACAGAAGCAGAAAATAAGAGGTTTCGGGCTTTCAGCCTATGATATTAAATACCAAGAATACATATGGCTGACAAAGCCTGTAAATGCATCTATGAATCAGAGCTCTGAGCGAAAGGCACTAATGAGTGATCCCTACCCAAGGGACTGAAAATGTGCAGGCTAGGTTCAAGTAGCTTGGTATTTTATATTTTCGAAACAGATTATGATTTGGTTTTTTTTTAAGCATTCTCCTTGGTTGGCATATGCTAGGCATGATCCATCAGGCTATTTCTGTCAGGAAGATTTGGGCATGTGCTTTTCTTCCCGTTTGAATTCGAGGGGACATGGGCAGAGCAATCCTACTGAGGTGAGAGCAACAGTGGGGCAAGAGGAAAGGGAGGGAAGGCCACAGCATTGCTGCCACCCCTTCCTAAGCCATGCCAAATTTGCACTGACCAGGCTTGAATGCAGAGTGTGACTTCGTTCCTCCTTTTTACCTTTTGTCTCATGATTTTCCCTAAAATGAAACCAAACCCAACCACATGGGTAAACTTGGTTTCTTTCCTTCACAGACTCCACTGGGTGGTAAATGTGGACACTCATAGCCGAACCACAAAGCATTGGTTTAGAAAACAGGTATGCATCTATTTGGCCTTGAATTGGCAAGGTCAGCCTTCAATCGGTTAGCACAACTTTTAATTATTAGACTGCCAAGAATTGAAAGTTCCTTTTTGAGACTATTTGGCTTATGGTGCTTCATTCTATGAAATAAAAAAGAAAAAACTGTTAAGATGCAACAGAGCTTTTATCATGAGTAGCTTACGTGATGACCTTCGTCTGGATCCAGTGTGATAACTCCGGGCTTTTGTTTATTCGTTTCTGACTCTTCCTCTTTCTTTGGGGATGCAGTGGCACAGTAGTTTAAACCACTGAGCTGCTGGGCTGCCAATTGAAAGGTCAGCAGTTCAAAGCCGTGTGACAGGGCAATCTCCTGCAGCCTTGTCCCTAGCTCTTGCCAACCTATCAATTCGAAAGCATGTAATGCGAATAGATAAGTAGGTACCACTTCGGTGGTGCAGAAACAGCACCCTGTGATATCATGCTGGCCACATGATCTTCAGACAGCGCTGGCTCATGCCTATTGAAACAGAGATGAGCACCACCCCCTATAGCCGATTGGCTAGTGGAATAAAATCTGCAGGGACTCTTTTCCTTCTCTTTCTTTAGTAACTCAGATAGATTATTTGTCAAGAATCATATTAGTTACCTATCAGTTTGAAAAGGTAAAATGATTCCTCAACTGAAAATAGAGACATAGAGTTGAGCTGGAAGGACCAACCAAGTCCAATCTCTTGCTTCAAACTCTTAAATCATCTTTGACAGACAGACAGACAGACAGACAGACAGACAGACAGACAGACGACTGCCTAGCCCTTGTCTGAACAGCTCCAGCAGTAATTCCATTGTATGATTGCTCTAATTCTTAGGAAGTTTTTCCTGAGAGTCATCAAAACAAGGCCTTCCTGCAACTTCAGCCTATTATTGCATGTCCTCTAGTCTTCGATGAAAGACAACGAATTACGGCTCTCTTTTGTGGGACAAACCCTGTAGGAACATGCAAAGTGCTATCATATCCATCTTGGTCCTACAGCTTCCACATTGTTCACTGGAATACCCACAGGAAAAACCACGGAGGAGAAGGGAAGGGCGGGGGCAAAACAATGGGGCAAGCACATTCCTCTATTGGCTGCCCTCTGGGTTTTTCACACGGCCGGCCTGCTGTGACTTATTTCCAGGGTGGGATGGCATGACATAGTAATGTGCCCAGTGTCTAACCACTCTGACTGTGTGGAAGTATTTCCTGATGTTAGAGAACAGGTTACAGCTCTCTTCTCTTAGGTAACCTCTTAGGTATCAGTAAGAGCCATCATATTCCCCACTCTATCCTCTCTTCTCAGTGTTAAACATAACCAGCTCCTTCAATATTCTCTTGCAGAACTTAGCTTTTAGTCCCTAATTAGCTTTGATGATCTTCTCTAAACTCATTACAATTTAGCTGAATTCTTCTTAAAATGTGGTCCAGAACAAGAAGCACGATTAGAGGCGAGGACCAGCAAACACAGAATGGAGTGAAACTGTTACTTCCTGGGAATTAGAAACTATAATTCTATTGATGCTAACTAAAATTGTATGTGCCTTTTTTGTAGCCACTTCACATCACTGTCTCATACTTAGCTCATAACTGACTTGAAATCCAAGATCTCTCCCCCGCCCCCCGCTCAAATACTATTGTCAAGCCAGGCATCCCTCATGTTATACCTGTGCATTTGATTTCTTTTACCTAAATGAAAAGCTTTGCATTTGTCTCAAATTTATTTCTAATGTATTAGCTATCCTGTCCAATTTTGTAACAGCAGCAAATTTTATAAGAATCCCACCAGGCCAGTTGTTTTTTTCAGCAAAGCCTAAAAATGGCTAACAATTTTGCAGAATTCAAGGCAAGTTTTGACTTCACTAAGTGGAACCTTGTAATTATTTCAGAGAAAAGTGAAACTAGAATCACAGGATGTGACAGAGATTAGAATCATATCGTAAAGTGCAGAACACCTTGAAATTGCACCTATCATTAAACAATATAAATTGAGTCGTGGCAGCATATCTTAGTGAGCTTAAGACGGTTTCTTGTTGGCTGATATACTGCATTGCAGCGTGCTTTATCAGTTTATGTATTGATTTTAAAAAATATATAATGAATTGATATGAAAGTAAAAGTCAGTTCTAAAGTGCAGCCACACTTTTTTGTATAACTGAAGCCAAGCAAAAGCTTTTCACAGAATTTATTCTGAGATTAGTTGAGGTCAATCAAGTTTTTTTGAACTTCATTATACTGCAGGTGAATTTTGCCCTCAAAATTAGTGACATCAATCCAGCTAAGACTGAAGCAACTGTAAACCTGCTGATTTTAGCAACAGTCAGAGTACCTTTTCTCACATACTATACTCACATGCATACATATGGAAGTACAGTTGTTGCCCATTCTGAAACAGCAAGTTTTTAAAAACAAAGCAGATAAGTAAAATTAAGTCAATTAAAACAACAACTAAAATGATTCCATCAGACTCTGAGATGACTTCAGTGGAAATTTGCTCTCCAGTGTGGTATAGTGGTTAAGAGTGTGGGACTGGGACTCAGGCACTCTGAGTTCTAGTCCCCACTCAACCATGGAGCCAACTGGATGGTTTTGGGCCAATCATAGACTCTCAGCCCAACCTACTTCACACGGTTGTTGTTGTAAGGATAAGACTGAGAGCGGGAGGAAGAGAATTATGTAAGCCAATCTGAGTTCATTCAGGAAAAGCTAACAATAAATCTAATAAATGGATTAATAAATAAATCTTTTGATCAACTCAGTTTAAAGATGGCAACTACTTTAATTTAATATATTTTTGATGATAATTTATTGAAATGTCCAGGTTCTTTCATAGAGAGCAGAAAGAGAACTTGAGTTTACAAAAAGGAGTAAAATTGACAAAAAGGAGTAAAATTGACAAAAAGGAGTAACATTGACAAAAAGGAGTAAAACTGACAGATCAGTCCATTGAAGCAGAGGTTTTCAGAGCTTTGCTCTAAAAAGTTCATGTTTAAATATGTATGTATTCAACCATATTTGTGATGCTGAATTACAGTTGCCACCCCACTTTTTTTGGACAGGGCTTTAACAGCTACATGTCCTCAATAGCTACATGTCAAACAGGAATATCGTGGTCCTTTCCATTTTGGACATGGCCGCACCAACTGACTCTGGTCAGTGCATATGGATGAGCATTTCATTTTGTTGGAAGGCTGGTTGGTCGATTGGTTGTTTCTTGATAGCAGCATATCACAAACTCCTTCCATAAACATAGATCCTTCCACCCTTGGCAATCAACCATATGAGCAGTTTCACTAGATAGTACCCATTTCTTCCATAATCTGAAAGGAATACACACCTCACCCTGTGGATGCTAGTACCTGTTATACCCATAGCCCAGCTGGACTAGTAGCCTGACGGAATTCGGTCAGTAAAGAGGCGCCATCATACTCTGACAAAGCCCTGGCCAAGATTTTATCTAGAGTAGACCAAAGTAAGATTTGTCAAGACGTCAAATTTTCATTGGCTGGCAGTGGTTCTTAAAGACACCACCACACACACCACTTCAAGCCATGAGGCTTGAAGGCATCACTGCTACAACCACAGTCCTGAATTGGCACCAAAGGAGAGGGTTGTATCCTTTGACAACACCAACAGGTTGTGTGTCCATTTCGTGTATTCCCAGTGAAATCCCCCATGCAGGAACGTTTGCCAACTACAGGGCATGGGACAGGAACACGAGTCTGAGTGTTCGACAGAAAGTGTGTAAAATGTTTAAGTGGTTCAAAGCACGAAGAAATACAGGCCTGTTTGGAATCTTTGCAGCTCAATGTTTTATGAAGACTCTGTGAGGTATTTTTTTAATCAAAAAGTGTTTATAAACTTTAGCAATAACTCTTAGATTTTCTAACCCTTCTAGGTCTAGTGCCTCCAATACTCTCAGAGAATAATGTGAATATTCATCACAAAGTCAGTGAAATAATGATAACTTTAAACCTGTTATACAACAACAATTTGATTGGTCAGAGCACTTTTATGTACATTAAGAAAAGATGAATTTATTATTTGTGTCTATTCTGCTTGGCTGTTTAGAGGACCCGATGGACTGGATCCAGAGATAGCCGTACTTTTGAGGAGACCCATTCAAATAACTGATTTTATTGGGTCTACTCTCATTATAAGAATATCTGGATCCTGACCATTGTATTTCACCCAGTCCATTTTTGAAGCAACTATACCCAGTATTTGTTGGTAGCTGCATTTGTGTACTCACTGGATTCCACATGAAATGCAAAGATATAATGGCAGTTACCCCCCACTGGATCCTCAAGTATTCCTTATAATGAATTATATCTAGCCATGGTATATGGGAGGCTTCTAGGCATCTCTAGGTTAGAGTTGTCCACCAAAAACAAACTGTAACTGATTATTCATGAACCTTTTAACCAGTCAGGTCTTGGCAAAGCCTGGCCACCCTTAGCTCCACTTATTCTGCTTTTAGTCCAGGTGTTGCTAACCTGACATCTTCCAGAAGTTTTAGGCTACATTTCTCATCAGAGACAGTAAGCATGGCTGATCGAAAAGGGTTCTTAGAACTTTTTGAAACATTCGGAGGCCATCAGACTGTCTCCTCCTGCTTTATTATGATCTTGAGACTTCTTTCCTGCCCTTCCATGAAATGAAGTAGTAGTTGATGCTTCCAAACCAAGAAAGCAGGGGGGGGGGGGAGTTAAATGTGTGGAGACTAGTTCATGAGGAACTGCCACAGAGCTAGCATTGCAGTAGTAGAGAGTAAGCCAAAGAAGTGTTTTTTGGTTATTGCCTGGCATCATCACCATCTGCTCTCTCTGTCACTGACAATAAAGCTTCAAGATTCAAAATGTGCATGATTTTTACTTGCTCGGTTGTGTTTGTTAGCACTCCTGGGATTTGCATTTCCGATCCTGTTATTCCTCCCCACTGTTTGTTGAAGGAGAACACATTGTAATGTTTTGTCTAAGTAAATAAATCTACATGAACTTTTGGTCTCCTAAGCTGTCTTTTAAAAAAGAAAAGAAAAAAAAAAGGCTCGGGTGCTCATGCAAAACTTATGCAAAGTCCTATGTTTCCTTCCAAATTCCTCTGAAGAGCATGCGTCATCACAACATTTGATCACAGTGAGACGTTAAGCACTAGTTCATACTGCCATCTAGTTTCCAGTTCTTTGTTTTTAACCTCCTAGAGATCCTGCCGTTTTCTCGACTCCAAGAAGAAATATTGCTATAGCTTGAGGAAGCTAATTTTAGCCACATACCATATACATTTTGTAACATGTATAAACAGAGCAAGCATGTACCATCATAAACCCTTTTAAAGGATAATGCTCCACATAATAAAGCAGCTATAGGCCA